AATTTGTGTCCTTGTTTGACGGCCACATCCGCATCGTGAATGGTTGAAAGGAAGTATTTTATGATCTATATATTTGATATTCCTAGCCAAATTGGAATATTATTAGGATAAATTGCAACTATAGAGTGTTTGTGTGCTAATGAATTAACAAATAGATATGTGTATAAGAAGCAAGATATTAACATTAAGTAACAGTAACATAAAATAATGCTTAAGAAAAATAACAATTGTTTATTGAGACATATATAATGTACTTGAGGATGATGATAGCATATCCTTTAAGTTAAATACATATCACCATAGAAGTTTAAGGAATCAAACGTGATGCGTATGGTTTGTGCTTAAGTTACTTTCTATAATAAAATGAAGTATAATTATTGTATTTTTCATGTTTTATTTATTTATGGAGTGCATGTTATGTAATGATGAATTATGTGTGCATTTATGGTAATGATTGAATATCTTAAGTTGGACTAGAAAAAATAAGGTTTAATCACTAAAGAAATAAGTGATATATGAGAACGATAGACATAATGGATTGCATTGAGAGATAATACTCGCACTAGAGGACTTCACATAATGATTTATATTTTTATTCTTTTTTTTTTTGTGATGGAATATGTTGCACTTAAGAACAAGAGATTGCTTAAAAAATAGCTATCATTAATGGTCCAAAGTATTCAATAATTAATTGACTGTTTTTAGATTATTTAGCATTTAAAATTGAATGTACTCAATTTAATTCAGAATTAAAAAGATAATTCTTAGTTATTAATTATAGCTTTAAAACTAAATTCCAAGTCATTGCTACGAATGAGTAGAAATTAATTCCAAAATTCTTATATTTTTGGGTCCCTAGAGCTTTCTTCTAATATACCACTTTAAGAGGAATAAATACGACCATATCATATTGGGAGAGAAATGGTTAGAAGAATTCCAAAATTAAGTTGAAGAAACGCAATCAATACAAATTCAGGAACTAAGAATTCTTAATGGAGTATCTGTATTTGTAGTCATTTATTTATAAATTAGCTTCTAGCATCTTAGTTGTCAAGTTATTCTTGGTTAGCATTTGTCGTATATAGCTTCACACCGAGAAGAGGTATGTGTACTCCAAGACAACAAAGAACTTGAATCAAAAGCCCCTAAGCTGGGAGGCTATTTCAGGGTATAGGTCTAAACCACTAAACTGCATAATCCCATTTTCTTGGCGCAATCTCAAAATTTCTTTTTTACTTTTCGACGACAAAATGGGAGATTATTGGTAGCTTAGATACTTCACGAACAACCGATACATTGTATATAAACTTATTTTGAATCCAAAAATCATGCTATTAGTTTGAATTGAAAAACTTGTGTATGAATCGACATAAAATTTTCTAACTATGACATATTCTTATTATAGTACTATTTGCCTAAAAGCTTACCATAGCATAATGAAATTATGATATTACTTAGGATAATTGGTTAATGCATGCTTGCCCACCTATATCTTGAGTATTTCAAAGGAAGAAAGATAATAAAAAAAAGAGCAATTTCTTTAAATGCAATCCCATGCAAAATCTATTAGTATACGCTCACGCATTGTATTGATGTGGTACATCCAATCAAGTAAGTGTCCATTATTAGATGGATCATGATGATAGAAAATTCTTATAAATTCTTTATTTTTAATAAGATAATTTACTTTAAAATTTTTTATTCTCTTACACAATTGTCTCCATAGATAAAAGAGAATCAATGAATTCAATATAAGACACTCAAAACTTTCTGGACTCCGCTGAAAGACAACCTATTCAAAGTTTTAAAGTAAACTCGCTAAAGTGGGATAATGGAAATAATAGAGCACTCGATATATTCAAAATGAATTTCTTAGGTTCACATGAAGCTCTCTAAGTGCACACAAACGTACGGGCCAGTACTTTTTGTTTAGATAGCCTTATAATCCATTAGAGCCAACATTGACTCACAATAGGTCAAAAATTGTACTTGCTATATTGAATCCTCAGACAAGTGTCATGTGTAGTTAATAGATCATACTCACCGTTGAGCATACTCAACCATGAATGTTTGGCCAACTCTACACATCCTATATAAAAAGCAAACTACTCAAGCTCAACAATTGCATACCCAGCATTAAACTAGTCATGAATAGAAATCAATAATTAATATATATTTTCTACTATCATGATTTACATCCTCTTAACTTTTATAATAAACACTTGGTTATAGGCCTAAGAGGTGTAATATTTGACATAACACCCAGGAAATGCGTACGTTTCGAATCCAATCCACAAAATTTCAGTTTAGGGTCAACCGAACCAAAATGGGTCGGGTTCATGCTCAACGTAATCGACCTTTAAAAAATTGACGGTCGGTCCGGTCGAGTTGACCTGGAAATTAGCAAAATGACCCCGCTTTGACCCAATAAACCATTTTGACCTTGGAAACCCAGAGATTGACCTTTTTTTTACTGCCCGAAAAGATCTAGATTATTGACCACCATATTTTGAGTGTCGGATATATGACGTGCATTTTTTGTTTCTGCCCGAGGTTATTCCGGGGTCTAGTCCGGGTTTAACCTCGGACCCGAAAGCAGGATCAGGGTGTCGAGTCTGAAAAAATCAACCAGTTTCCAAAAATGGGGTCGAGTTCCGGATTGACCGAATAGAGTGCTCGGTCAGTTTCTGATTTGACTCAATCAATCTGGTAACCTGAATTGACACTCCTCTAGTCAAACCTTGCTTTGCCTTTTTTTATGAAGCTTATCTTAAAATTTTACTATAACAACATCAATTCTACCGTGAAGTATAAATAAGAGATTAGGAAAAATCGGGCCCATTGCATGTACACAAATATTATATCTACAGTAATATATAAAATTTGGAATCTTAATTAAGATCTAAATTTTTTCAAACTTGTTAGTAGAAAAACAAAATTCATAGAAAATCAAGACGTTTATTTATGTTTATTACTTTGCTATCAAATGCAGCCCATGCGATATTCCTAACCCTGAGGTGAGAAAACTTTGGTAACAACCATCCTTACTTTATTCGCTGGGAAATAAGTAATAACCAATTATACTAACCGTTAGTGTACCAAGCCATACATCACGTCCAATTTCAAAACGAACAGTTTTGACCAGCCACACTCGAACTTCGATTGTTTAATAGACATTTTAAGTAAAATCATTCCGCAAATAATCTTCAGTAGTCTGATTCGATCCTCATAAGCGACACGAAGAGTATACGGCAGGCAACGGAAAGGTAAAGAAGCGGACGCTTTTAAAGGAACCGAGGAATGAGACGAGGAGAGACTGAATCTCTAGTTGAGATCCTGCAAGGGTTTGCATATTCTTTTCAAGCTTACTTCTCTATCGGTTCTCGTTAAAATCTTCCTTCCTTCTCTCTAATGGTTTAATCGATATCCTTCGCGTGGGAGAGTATTTGGCGAAGATTTAAAGCCCTAATGAACTCACATGCAATCAACTGGAACCGAATCCAACGCCTGCTCATCTGCTTTTCCAATGTTGATGCAGGGATTTTTGAGGACATGGTTATTTAGTTAAAAGCCATATTTATTTTATTCCAGAAATTGGTGTTTTTCCGATTTGGTTGTTGGTAAGTTGCGTCTCTTGGTGTTTATGATTCATTGTGAAGAACAACAAATAAAACAAAAATACTAATTTTCTTTCTTTTAAAATAAGAGAGATTTTCAACTATCGCAGCTTTAAAATTCTATTAGAGCTTAATATAGCCCACCATTCCTTAGATCACATCCTCGACCAAAATGAGATTACAACCCACTACAAATAATACAAAATTATTTAATAATAACTTAAAATATTAAATTCCTACTTTGATATTATCTACATATTCACATCAACCTTCCACTGATAGTTATCCTTATTTATCTGAGAATAATTTGAATTTGATCAACAATCTAAGTTGATGTTGGCATTTCCTCCCCGAACGGTTCTCGGTTTTAGTGGAGACTACAAAGCTTGCTTTTAATCTTTGCTAGATTTTTCGAATCACAATGACCTCCCAAAATTTAGGGTTGCAAGCTTCTCCAATAGAGATCTTTTCTAGGTATGTAAAAGCCAAGGAACCGTGAAGTAACCAGCTTAGTCTCATATCTTATATGAAAGATAAATTAGGACTGTGCGTTGGTAAACGTACAGAACTGCTTCCATGTAGGCGGAGGGGGGGGAGGCATGGGCACGTGCCCCCTCTCAAAAAAAAAATTTTTTTATAACCCATTGTTCAGCCTTTCATGTTTATTATGAAGGTTTTTTTTTTTAATTTATTCAAGCCTTCAATCCAAACAATATCTACCACCAATCAATGCTAAGCGGAATGGAAGAATGAAAAAAAACAAATGGGTAAACTGATTGAAATAGAGAGAGAAATGACACAGGACGAATCAGTTTCTTGTAATTTACAAAAACACTAGTGGAACTTTTCAGCTGGGCGTGGCCCAGTGATTTTTTCCTCTTCTGGGTTTTCCACATAAAAATCCTGGTGTTCATTTTCTTTTCTGTTTGTGTGCTGAATATTCATGCAACGCTCGGACGTGAATTTCTAAACTCTACCGCTGTGTATATTCTAGCCCGCAACATATATATAAAGGCTATTAGAACAAACTCTACTATATATGCCATTTGAGGTTGATTTTAAATAAATGATTTATTATAAAAAATAATTAAAATAAAAATTTTAAAATGTTTCTCTGGAAAAATCTAATACTACCTCTTTGTTATTTCTCTTGAACAATTGATAAATTATTACGTGCGTCGTGCGGTGTCCAGACTTAAAGTTATGTCTGGACTTTATTAAAAATGTGACATATGATCTTGTATATAACGTGTACAAATTTTTACACAATGTATATAAATTTATACATGTTATATACATAATTTTATCATTTATATAGTACATATATACTATACTAAACATATATCACGTTTTTATTTAATTCAAGATAACCGGACCCGCACATAATAATTTATCCGATTCTTAAGCCTGCTTGTCTGCTTTAAGCATCAATGGCATCCGAAGACAAAAAAGTAGCCATCTCCCGCCCCGTCCACCAAACCCTAGTTTTCACCCCCGTGCCCTTCGCTCTATGCTTAGCCTTCAGCTTCTATTTTATTCTCATTCAGAACCTTAATAGTCCTCTCGCCCTCGCCATCAAGCTCGCCAACGGCGTCATCCAAGCAACCAGTGCCTTCAAGTACCTTAAATCACCTTCACCTTCTTTTGCCACACTCTTCTTCGCATCCAAATTGGTGATTAAAGGCTTCAAGATCTCCCAGCGCCTGATTCCCACCGGCGTTGTGGTGGGACCCTCTCCCTCACCTATCGCCGCCAGAAAGCTCAAAGCTTGCGTCGCCGCCATTAATCTCTTGCGGTACGCGCGCCACCCTCCTTATGCTAATATGCCTATGGGATTAGGGTTTCTTCACAGCGGGCAAAAGTTTTCCAAGAATATCCTTAACGTATTGGACGGGTTTATCGGGCTTCAGCTGGATGCGGTTGTTAGAAGAAGTGTGGATGCCTTGGGTTTGCTTTTTAAGGCCGCGGTTATCTTGAGAGTGATCGGGGAACGGGTTGGAAGGAATGGGTGGGTTTGGAGGCGAAACAGGTATATGTTTTGGAGAGTTTGGGATTTGAGATGCGTGGTTTGCCTGCGGTGTAAAAGATCATATTTTGATAGAATTGTTATAGAGAAGAGACTTCCTTGTTTTAGGGGTTTGGATTTTGGTGCTTGTAATGTTGCTGGAGTTAAGCAAATGGAAGTTAGTGTGTCTGAACTGCTTTCATTGTCCATTCCCCTAGAAAAGGTGGATATGCGAAGTATATTGCAAAGACAGTAGCTGTACTCTGCGATTTCATACTACTGCTCTAGACAGTTTATTAGTCTTTATTTTAAGAAATAAGTATCAATTTTTTGTTCTTTCTGCTAAAAAAAAACATTTGTAAATTGTTAGATGGGCTGTAAATCTTGTTCTTAGCAGGTTCTCAAGAAAGGAAGCTTCTTATCTACCTAGAGTCCATTGTTCATAGGCTTCATATGATGTTAAGAAAGAAGTAGCTTGTAACAACCCTGTAAGGATCTGTGATAAATTTTGATTTGGGGACGCTGCCAACTTCAAGAAAACACAAGATTCAGAAGGGGAAGAAGAGAACAATCTCTACAAGGGCTTTACTTCATTTTATTGCATACCCTAATACATCCAATAGGAGGTATATCTATAGAGACACAAGATTCACTTTAAAATAACGCTAACATAAACTGCTATAGAATTAACCTATTAACATTAAGATAAACCACTATAGTGTTAATTACTAACCCATTTAACCGTTATAATCACCTCTTAAGCATCTATTACTCATAATGAATGACTGAATTGATTAAGCACTCATTACACATATTGATTGTATTTTTATCCATTGCAAAGTAACCTTGAACTATCGATTTGATTTATTACTCATTACACACATTGATTATATTATTATCCCTTGAAAATTTACCTTGATCTTAAGTTTAAACTTAATAAAAGAAGCCACTCAAGAGAGGATAAATTCAAGTGAGGAACTGTTGACCTTTTTGACATTGATTACTTACATATTTTACCTCGATTCGTTGTCGACTTTGAAATTTAATTTTTATCACATATTATTCTTTATTATATTTGAATATATATGTGGTTCGGTTGGTGCCAAATTGATGAGTGCTTTATATGAATTCATGCATTTGAGTCTTTATTGCACGTATTCATCTCCTACATAAAATCTTTTGATTTGTGCCTCATTTTGTGCAACTGATTGCTTGAGCTCGTTCGGATCATCAAGACCTTTCAAAAGAGTTTATTTGCGTTAGAGTCGGACACCACTTGATGTGTGTAGAGGAGAGAGAATTGTAGGGGTATTTTCTAATATATTTAATAATTAAAATAAACTAAAATCATAAAAAAGGTCGTCCAACACACTCACAATTCACTACTCACACTCCTGTGCATAAGAAGGTCGTCTCCCTTGCTTATCGGGATGAAATCTCTCCTTCACTAACGATATCCTTCTCTTCCTCCACACGCCATCAGTTGGATCTGCCCCTCGCCAGCTGGATCTGTCCACCACTAGTCGGATCCTGCCCTCACTAGCCGGGTCTGTGCACCACCAGCCCGAGCCCATCTCTTGCCCTCGCCAAATTTGCCCCTCACCAGCCCGAGCCCATCTCTTGCCCTCTGATTCGCACGCAACAGCAGCCCAATGCCTCCTCTACATCTCTCCCTCAGGCTCACATCTCCCCCTATAGCAGATTTCGGCCAGCATACTCCTATAGCAGATTTCGGCCAGCAATAGAGGGAGGATTTGATGCAGATTTAGCCAACAATAGAGGGAAAACAGCTTTACATTTTGCCAGCAATAATAAGGAAGAATAGCTATATGTTTCAGCCACCAAACAAGAAGAATAACTGCAGATTTGGGCTAGCAAGGAGGAGAAATCTGCTCAACATTTCAGCCGCCAAAGAGGGAAGAACATCAAATTGAAGATCTTTATAAAGGTAATGGACAGAGATGCTATTTATTTATTTCCTTCATTCTTGAGATCTAGTGATTAAAAGTTGAAATGATATTTTGGAGCTTCTATTTTCCTTTCAATTACATTGAGTAATTGTGGCATTGAAAATGTTTCTTTTGAGAGCAAGAAAAAGGATTCATATAGCCGAGCCCACGTAGTGGGACAAAGGCTTGATGTTGTTGTTGTTGTTGTTGAGAGCAAGAAAGAAAAACATTCTCATTTTCTTCTCCTTTAAAAAAAATCAAAAAGTAATGAAGCAATGAGTGAAGATAGAATGGATTTATGTCTCTATTGTTGATATAATAAAGTTCCTGTCATCCATTTTTACATATGTATTGCAATTCAATGTGTGAATAACATTCATCTTGGTTTGAGTTGATGTTTTCATTTTATTGCCTTGGTTAAAAAGATTTGTAGCGTTCATGATTTTTGAGGAACTCTTTCTCTGGTGAGTTAAGAAAGCATGGTTGCTCTTCTTCTTCTTCCCAATAATTCTTGATTGGAGTTTCCAATACTTTGTTACACTAATGATGGTACATGAAGTTAATATTGAATCTTTATTAAGTGATGCTATGAGATTAGTTTGGAGAACAACATGTATATTTTTTGGTGCTTCAATAGCACATGTAAACTGAATGCTATCAAATCACATTTATATTTCCCCCCTCTCCTTATTCTCTCCTTTTAGATTTTTGCAATACAAAGACGGGCAATCATGTGCTCTTTGAAAGTTTTGTTGAAAAGAGTTGTTGTTTTATTATGAATTACAAGGTTTTGATATTTTTTGTGATAAATTGTATAGTACTGAAATATGCTTCAGATGACTTTCTTAGTGAATTTGATGTGTTGTTTCATTTGGTGGATTCGAGGAATTGAAGTGCTAATTGCTCCATCTCTTTTAGTTTTTTTTTTTTGGTCCTTTAGAGGTTGAGATAAGGGTTCTCTTATATTTTAACAAATCATGTGTTAAATGCATCATTCATTGTCGAAAATATATAAGATTCTTGCATTTCAATAATCATGAATAGATGGAAGATGTATTATGCATAGTTGTGTTCCAATAACATGTGTATATTCAAAAAGCTTTGATTATATTGGAAAATCTCACATATTATTTTATGCTTTAATGTTAGATGTAAATGCAAGCTTAATAAGTCTACGTCATAATCATATTTCTTCTCTGAATTCTCACAATAGAAGAAAATAATTGTTATACATCTTTGGAAGTTTTTGCAAACATCAACTTCTTGTAATGAATTACATTCATAATTCAAGAATAAGATAGTCTTATCAATCTTAGGGGTCATCCATGGATTAACTTTGTGATGCAATATTAGTAAGTTACATGTGAGTTTCTCCTATCTAGATTTGATATAAACATAGTACGAATGAACTTATATTTCATTGTGGTATAATCAAATGTTTATGTATGAATGGAGTTATTTAGTGAATATACAATGCTTGTGTAAATCTTTTCCTTTTCCCTCTTGTTTTATTTTCACAAAATCTGAAATATAAATTTCTATTGATGTGAATTAAATTGTTTTATGTTTCTTACACTTAAAAAGGTTGCTATACATGCACTTAACAACGATAGCTATTTCATAGGTTTGTATAAAATTCATGTTTCATTTACTTCTATTTGAATGCAGATTTATTATTTGATTAATCGATAATTAATCATTTTCTCTTCATAAGATTAATGGAAGAAAAATAAATTGGTTGACATGTTTGATATAAGTTTTTAATTGAAGACCAATAGACTTGCATGATCAAATATATTATTCATTCATAGGAATTGAAAGTATATATATGTTAATTGATGTTTCATGAATCCAATGAGAGAGTTTTGTCTACATTAATTTTCTCAAATTTAAGATGTGTTTGCATGTTTTATACGCATTGCATATTGAAAGTTCATAAACTTGTTGGAAATGTTTATATGTATATTTGAACAATAATGTCATTTATTTTTTCACCAATTAACTACATAAAACTTCGTTTCATATATCAATTATTCCCACTTATTTCTACATGAATTTCGTCACATAGCTATGTTAAATATTAACACGTATGTCTTTATGTCTTATGAAAGTAACAATAGTAATGGCTTGGAGGGAGAAGTTAAGGAGATCAGTCATCTCCATTTTTTTTCAAATAGAGGTGCTACGATCGAAAACCACTTGACAAGCACCAGGGAGGTAAATTCTATAAACTTAGAACCTCCTAGGTCTTCAAAGCCTTGCATCTGAATAAGATTTTGCTATATCTTAGGTCCTTTTAAAAGCCATGTATTTAATTTTTCAAACTTGATATCTCACTAGTGAGTAAAACTTTATTCGTTAGTGATAAGCTTAGGGATGTGTAGCATTGATTTATTACCCTCATTAAAATTTTTTTTTCTTTGATTTTCATAAATCATAATGTGTATAATAAAACAAATATGTTAATAAAAATAAAAATAAGATAACTAAACATAAACAAATCAAATTTATCAAACTCTAATCTGAAAGTTATTAAAGTTGATGATAAATACAGTTTTAACAGGAGAAAATACATTCTCGCAACAATTATCACCCTGCTATTTGAGACTATCCCAATCTTCTTCGATATCAAGCAGAAACTTTCAATAAAACAACCATTACAGGTTTAATCCCAGAAAAAAAAAAATGAATTCTATTGATGTTAGCTTGACAATCAATCATACAACTTGTATAGAAATTCATAAAAAGAAGTGTAGTTTATTTTATTTATGCAGAATCTCTTAATTCATTGGCGTCTTTACAATGCGTATTTTATGATCACCGATGAATAAGAGTAAGAAAGTTACAAAGCTTGGAATTTGCTTTTGTAGAGATTATATTTGTTGGCCATGCAACCAGAACCAGAAAATTTAACAAATAACCGACGAGAAAATTTGAATCCAATTTCGTTAAAGATGTACACTGTACTGAAAGCAACTGTCGCCATGCCGTCATTTTATTTAGGTCGTAAATATAGGACCTAATTACTGGCTGTAAATGCAATGTCAAGAAAGGGAAGAACACCAAACTCTAAAACAGTTTGTGAGCTTCTAGAGATCATAACCAAGACGCAACAGGGTAGTTGAAGTCGAAGGAAATCACTTCACTAATGTGAGCTGGAATGTCTGAAGAGTCGACGAGTCTATCTTCGTTGTTCCTCAACGCCATCTGCGACTGCAATTCAGCAAAGAAAATATTCAGAAATCTGCCACTTCAGAATTGCATTCATGTTGATAACAAAACGTTTTTTATATGCAGAATCTTTTGATGTTTCGCATTGACATGCTTTACTAAGAAATGTATTCTTATTCAAGACGGCAATTTATTGACTGAGGAAGGAAAGACGAGGATTATGTCTTTCTGTTTTGTTCTATTGATCATTCTATCAAGGTAGTTTTCTTAGTACAATGTTGTTGACCTCTGCAAATAAAAGAAAAATTAAAAAAAGAGACTTAAATCATTACCTGTGCTGAGACCTCACCCAATTCTTGCTCAAAATCTTTGCCATCTGCCCCTTTAACATGTCCCAATTGCTCCGTATGCTATCTGCATGGAAAATAATGATAAAAAAATGGAAGTTTGAAATCCTATAGCTACTCTCCACGCTTCGTCTTGTTTGTATTAATATTTGTTATAGTTATTTATATTTATATATTTTAATATTAGTTGTTAATAATATTAGTATTATTGTTGATATTACTAATATATATATATATACACGCGGAACCACAGGTTTCTTAGCGGGGGCAATTGCCCCCCACTAAAAAAAAAAATCTCTTATAGGAGTGAAATTTTTTTTTGCGCCGCCCCCTCCTCTAAAAAACCGTTTGTTCTAACATGCACTAATATATATATATATATATATATATATATATATATAGTATATTATTTGTGTGTGTGTGAGAGAGGAAATAGAAAAGCAAAAAAAATAAAAGTAAAAATAAATAAAGGCAAAAAAAATAAAAATAAATAAATAAATAAATAAATAAATAAAATAAAATAAAGAGGACGTATTGTAGAAGATAGATGAAGATAGGAACCTACAATATTCAAGAACCATTACAATGCAAATACATCAAGCAATAAAGGAGTTCAATGCATACAATGATCTCTATTTGCAGAAGACAAATGAGCTCTCCAATAGAGGATCAATAGAGAACAAATAACCTGCGTACATATTGTCCCTCATTCATAGGTGGTTTAATGAAGATCATAACAACGTGCTTACCAACTATATTCTTATTAACTAAGGAAGGAAGAAGAAATTGTTCTTTCTATAATTGTTCGATTGATGCATTGTATCAAGAGAATTTTTGTAGTACAGAGTCATATCAGACCGACTGCCAAACCTTTTCAGAATTGAGAATTAAATCAATAGTATGTGTTGGCCATTAGTGTCTGAACATCTATTGGTGATTGGAAGGCTTTCAAACAACATGTACGCTTCATCTAATGCAACATAAATTATATTTTTCTAGTGATTCTGCTATGTATGAAATATGCAAACAATATATATATATATATATTTATATGTAGTTCAAGTTAAGACAATCTGATTCAATAAGTTATGTTTGAAATAGTTAGCTGAATTATAAAAAACCAATTTATTGAAGTCGTTTGGATTATAGGGAACTTGTCTTCACATTGTATAATTTAAATTTGAGCAATATCCACTGGACTCAGAGTAAGGGTTGAGCAGGACTAATCTTCCAAGTTTTCGGACTCTTAATTTCACACTTATTTGACTAAACACATGCATTGTCTTATTAAAGGAAAAACAAGACAAGATAGAACGTTAAAATTGCTCACCTCTTCATCATTAGCAAAGCTAGGCATTGGCATCACATCACTAAACTCTTCGATCTTCGCAAATCTACCTCGAACTCGAGGCCTGCTATCAGCTAGGATCTTCCTACATGTGTACTGTCATATTTTTGTTTCATGTCAGTGATTTACAAAATAAGCAGCAGAAGAAGCGTATTTGTCTGAAGCATCTGTCAGTTACCTTGATCGTTTTGCTAAAATTCCTCTCCTTCTTCTTCCTAAGATACCTATCTAACTTCTTCCTCCTTTCCTCCGGTGATGCTCGACTAACTTTATTGTTTGAGTCATCCATTCTGGGGATATCGGAAGGCATTTGTAATGGAGCAATACTGGTGCTACACATTGGCCTTACATTTTGGTTATCTCTCAGTACCTTCAGAGAAATTCATGCATCAGATGAATGCCATTATAATTTAATTAATATAAAGAAATTTGATATCGATTGAGCAAATATAATAGTTTACAGGCAGGAGACATTATTAGGTAATAGGTATGATAAAATATGCATACTTGTAAGTTTCCGGGGCTGTAGAGTCTCGGCATAGGTTCATATGTGTAGATTCCTCTTAGATTGCAGGCTTCTGCAGCCTCCATCGGCCTCACGGGCATGCCAACACTGGTATTTTTCCCCATCCCATCATCTGCTACAAATGTCGGCATTCTCATTCTTTCAGCATAAAGCTGCCCTCCAATTCCACCATTAGCATCCATGAATGAGCTGCGCTGCATTGCTGATGGCTCCATGCCCATATATCCAGGCAAGCCCAAATGACCCGAAGGAAGCTGCTGGTTCACTACTGAGTTTGGCGGGTTAGATGTGAAGGGAGGATTACAAATCATTGGATTGGGCTGATTCATAGGATGGATTGGAGCCATTGATGCAGCTGGAAGTGATGGAAAGCTATTAGGTTCCGGTTCAGGTGGAAGTTGAGGATTGATAAGAGAGGATATTAGTTCTGAGTTGAAGGAATTGTCATAGCCGGGCAAGTTGGCGATGTTCGTATCAGGTTCAGGGAAGGTTATTGTGACGGGGACGTCCGAAGAACAAACACCATTGTTGGTTGAGGATAAGACTCTTGGTGAGTAGCCAGCTTCTCGAAACAAGTTATCTTCGTAATCAAAGTTGGGCATTTTGTCTTTTACAGAACTGGATAAGCACTCCTGTTACAATCAAAATCAAATCTTCAAGTCATAAAGATGTTCAAAAAGATTCAAAAACAAGAATCTTTAAAACTCCAGAAACAGATTAGTTGGGAAGACGAGGACAATCCTTAGACGCCTGTATCTTACAGGTGTTTTTGGAGATGAGGACAATTCTTACATTATCTTTTATTTTATTTCTAATAATTTTATCAAATGGAAACTTCTATAATGACGAATGCAGCTTATGAGCCACCCTTAAACAACTAAATTATTCTATTAGCATGTAATTAGAAGACAGCCCCAATCCTAATCCTCAATGTAATTAAGGAAAATTGAAATCTTACAAACAAAAAACTGAAAGCAAGCAACAATATTCTAAGCTATCTAAGATAAAAAATGCTGTTGAGGGTTTAGATAGCAAGTTAACCATCCTTAGCGTTCTTGCATTGAAGGCCAAAGTGCATGATTCTCCAAATAGGTCTTGTCCAGTGGATATTGCTCAGATTTTGCTTTATCTTTTTATGACAATTATGAATCTTATATTTTATGGTCTCCATATGAAAAAGATGAGTTAACATTATTAGTTAAAAATGACAAAAATTATTGTGGAAGTGTGATATAAATTTTTTTTGGTACTTATATATATTGAGGGATACTGATACAAATTATATATGTGCGAGGCATGCATGCGAGTCCCATCGAGAATCATATAAGAATTCTTATATGAAATTAATAGAATAATCTCTTCATAAAATAAATCATTTTAGATAAATTTGCCTACGCTAGCCATTGTTTCTCTCTTATTCATCAAGTGATTATAGCCCTATAAGGTATTGCAACATTAACGTATCCAAATGAAACAACTTTTTTCTTTATGAAATTGGAGCGCGAGGAGTTAACTCAGCAGAAGTTTGTGTTGGATATGATCTAATGACATATGCTATTCTTAAAGTTATGCGATGCACATATTATATATAAAACGCTATATCTTAATTAAAAAAGGTTGATGAAAATTCTATTTTAAAAAAAATTAATAATGTGGAGATAAATAATTAAAAAAGAATGGTTAATAGAGAGGAGAGAGAGGAGAGAGGAGAGAGATGAATTGGGAGTCAATATATAAAAAGCGGGGGCCCCAACTGTCCATGGGAAAAAAACAGAAAAATTGTAAGATTAGTAAAAAAAACCTGCAAATCTGAACCGTGAGATTTCTCGGCTAAATAATCAACAGAATAAGAAATTAAAAATAGAGAAGATGAAAAATAAATGCAGGAATGAAAATAAATACACATAAATTAAAAACAACTTCTTAGCATAAGATGATCAAAAGCTGTTCAAAACGAAGCCTAAATCTAATTCATCAAAAAAAAAAAAAAAAAATCGTTAGTTTGCGAGAAGCAGATCCTTCCGACGCTTTAGATAAATAACAAACAAACAAAATACGTCGTAAAACGTCGACGTAAAGAAATGCTATTAGCTTTAATCAATCTTTATAAACATCTAATGAGAATTCGGTCATAGAGAATCACATCAAGGGATGGATGCACCGGCGATCGAATCAAATCCTCCAGCATTTTGTCAATACAAAGCGATTCCGAAGAGGGAGTTCTAATTCCTTTTTCCATTATCAGGGGAATGCAGAAGAAGAAGAAATTAAGGAACGGAAAAAATATTGGTTGATGCATGCAATGATGAGGCTGTAGATGTTTATAGGGGCGGCGAGCGAAGAAAACAGACAATTTATGCCCAGCTTTAGAATGTGCCTATTTGCCTCCGGACTGTAAGGGAAGCGACCAGTTTTAATCACGGGCCCTTTTGGACCCACCAATAATTTTTGGCCACGTCAGCTATTAGTTATGTGGAATGCGAATGTGGCACAACTGAAACTTAAAATGTAACAAAAAAACCAGTAATTAGTTGAGAGGCTAGCTGGAGTAAACGGATTGCTCAATCTAAGAGACCGGCTTATTTGCTCCAGATCAAAACGGAATCAAATAAATATAACATATTTAAAATATTGTAATAACAAGGGTGAGGTAAGATGGTGGTCGGCGGCAATGGTCGATGGTGGAGGTGGTGACGATGGGTGTGGTGATGGTAGGGATCTATAGAGTTGGTATCGGTTGATGATGGGTGGCGGCGGTCGGTGATGACAGTTGTGTTGAAGATCGACAGTGATAATGGATAGCGATGGATGATGACTGCTAGTGATGGCGGTGCCTGGGGTGGTGGAAATTAAGCGTGGAAACGAGTCAAGTCGAGCTCGAGTCATATCTAACTCAAGCTCGACTCGGGAGTCAAATCTCGAGCTCGAACACGAGTCGAGCCCAGAAGGTGAGCTCGTTAATAAATATAACTTAAATATTAATAATTTAATTAAAACATTTTTATGAACGTTTTACCATTGAAATTTATTCCGCCGAATATCACCGGAAACTTTCAAATCCGTCGAAAACTTAACAATTTTTTGCCGGAAAATCCGTCGGTAATGCGTGATTTTACTGTAGTAAATATCCGATTCCACGTCCCACCATGCCCACGATAGTCGCATGGTGAGAAATTGGAAGCGTGATTGTTGTTGCAACAAAAGCTTATATCGGTGCTAGACATGGAAGAAAGGTGTTTCATCTGATGATGGGAAGGTCGCTGTCGAATCTTGAGACAATGCTTGCATGATATGGAAGATTTGGGCGAATCTTGTGTCTTGGATCGGGGATGGATGCAATCAAGGCCGGAAAGGTATTAAGAATTGCGGCAGTTTGGTGGCCAATGATGGATTAATGAATGGTGGCCTGAATACCGTTAATCTGGCAATGGCGTTATTGGGTGTGGAAGTGGGTGTATGAATGGTGGCCTCACTGCGACCTCATACCCAACTAAGCCGAACCTAGATCCGACTTACTTGATCTGTTCAATCCTTCTGCCCTCATTCAGCCAAAACCTATATGCAGGTATATATATTCCTTATCTTATATTATTGAATTAGTTGTTATTATATATATTATTAGTTATAATAATGTTTGTTATTAATATTATTATTAGCATTACTCTTATCATTAATATTATTATTAATTATATTAAAAAGAAAGAGAAAATTTCTCAAAAAAAGGAGAAATAAAAGTAAGAGAGAAAACTTAAAATAAAAATGAAGAAAAGAGAGAAAAAAAGAAAGAAATAAAAGATGGGAAATATAAAATAAAAAGTCCAAAAAGAAAAAGAAGAGGGGCTATGCATTTTTGTGTACATCTTTATTCATCGTCGGCGGCTTCAACCCCACTTGCAACAGGTATAAAATTCTAAATCTTCAAAAGCATGCTCTCAGTGTTCGTGTCAATCCTGAAAAACTGCCCATACACATTTTTTTTCTAGCGTGCTGGGAAGGAAAACTGATGCGATGCCTACGGTGAGGCGGGAAAGCCCTATACTGCTTTTCTCTAGCGTGGCAGGGACAAATATACAACTATGAATTTCAAGCAGGTACTGAATACTCATACACTTCTTTCTCTAGCGTGGTGGGATTGAAGACTTATGGCTGTGGTGTCATCCAACACCTATCATACACGTTTTTCTATAGTATGGTGGGAGGCCTATACTCTTGGAATTTCCCTTAAACATGGGAGGTACCAGGAGGCTGTCGAAAGAACCAGCTAAAATGAAATTGAATTGAAATCAAACTTGAATCAATTTTGAACCATAGGGGGCTTGGACTTACAATTGAACTCAAGCAAAGACCTGATTTGGACAACAGGGAACTTCACTCTAATGCATGTAACAAAGAACTCAAACTCAGGAAAAATAGAATGAGCTTAAATTTAAGCTCAAGTGAATGAATGCAAGGAGCCTAAAATTGAATGCATCATAAAGGACCTGGGCTTCAATGAATCATATGAAATCAAGTCTAAATTAAGGTGCTTTGAGCCAAGTTTAGTTTAAATATCAAAGCATTTGCAAATGCATTGTAAGGGATTATGGTTCGATTCAAACCCAAACAAATAAGGAGTTCAAATATGACTTGAATCACCGAGAAAGAATACTTGTAAATTTCAATACAACATAGGGAATGAGATTCAAATCCAAATGATAAATGAGCATGCAAGTATAAAATGAAGTGTCCAAACCATTCTCAATGCACATGATTTATTCATAAGTAAGTGAATAATAGAGAGGTTGATGATATCACAACATGAAGAATAGACTATGATGTATACAATACATTTCTCATAAATGGGGAATAGGCAACAAGTACTATAATTTCCATGCGACCAACCTAAGCTTACAGATAAATAAACATACAACCTGCATACGGAGGATGACACACTTGTGATACATACGAGCTCCTATAAGCCATTGAAGGAGACTTGTAACGAGCAAAATGATTTGCTTAGGAAATGGACATGAACACATGATGCACATGGCAACCTATTTATGGGTATCCCTACAATCAACTATTTGATGACAATCAAATATATTTATTCCTTATATGTAGAGGGATTTAACATGTAGTGAATACAAAAGTCACTTGTGAACATAGAGGCTCATGTAACTTGCTACTTGTAGGCAAAAATTATGTGTTTGCAATGCATACAAGACATCTATACACCTACGAACTATCGTAGCAAAAGGCAATGAACTCTACAACATATTTATGATCGGTCACCATTTAATATTAAGCAGATACATTGATCCATTACAAGCAAACACTGGATGATATGCAACAAATGTATGTGCCTGCGGGTCCTTGTAAAAGACTCGACAAACATGATAAATATCATCCATGAGAAAAAATCCAAAGAACTATGAAAAATGCAAGTTCCTACAAGCTTCTGTAGGAAACCCGCCATACACTTAACATGCCGTCTACAAGAAGGTTGTAAGGGAACTACAATAGATAGTAACATCTACTAGTGATAGTAAGAGATTCATAAGTGTACTACAATCTACTCGTGAAAAGAAACAAGTAGTGCATGATAGTTTACCTATACAAGACAAGCAAATGACTGCAGTGCTATGCAATGCC